TGTGTGTGTGTGTGTGTGTGTGTGTGTGTGTGTGTAGGTGTGTGTATGTGAAGGGCAGAGGACAACTTGCAAGAGTCAGTTACCTCTTTTCACCATGTGGGCTTCAGGGATCAAACTCGGGACATCAGGCTGCAAAAGCCTCTACTGTTGCACCATCTCACTGGCCTTTTAAATTTAGATTTTATTTTATTTTATTTTTGAGGCAAGGTCTATGTATATATCCCAGGGCTCAAATACAATATGTGGTTGTAGATGACCCTGAACTTCTGATCCTCTTGGATGCCGAGGTTATAAGCATGCACCACTATGCCTAGGTATATGTGGTGTTGGGGATCACACCCAGGGCCTCTCACATATGAGGCAAGAACCCACCAACTGAGTGACAGCCTCAGTCCCTGGAAGCACACAGAGCCCTCAAGACCCTGGTTCTGCTGCCTGGTCACCACCATCCTGGGTGGCCCTATAGAGAGAGCTACCGGCACACAAGCACACACAAACATGCATACACTTTTATTTGCACAGATGGTACAGGCTGTTTCCTATCCAGCACCCAGCACTTTTTAACCAGCGTGTGTTAAATCAGAGATTGGTGTGTATGTGACAGTCCTAGAGCTGTGCTTTCCTTTTTAACAGCTGTGTAATATACCCTAATTTATTTAACCGGGACACGGATGATCCAGATCTATTTTCTGATGGCTAAAGCCACTAAAGCAAACACTGCTGTAAGAAAATCCACTTGGCAGCTAAGGCTGCAGATGAGTCGCTGTAAGCCACTTCATATTAAACATTACGAGACTTGAACTTCAAAGGAGGGGTTGGAGTGGGTGCAGTGAAAAAAGCAGAATTAGCTGAGGTTCCACATAGCCCTATGCTAAGCTGTGAAACTGCAGCCTTCCCTTGCCAGGACACTAAACTGTGAGTGGAAATACTGGAGGGGGCAGAAAGCCATCGGGGTCTCACCGTCAGCTGTGAGAGGGGTGCTTGGGGTGCTTGGGGCCTGTGAGGGGGTGATTGGGGTGCAGTGGGGCCTGTGAGGGGGTGATGGGGTGCAGTGGGGCTGTGAGGGGGTGATTGGGGTGCAGTGGGGCCTGTGAGGGGGTGATGGGGTGCAGTGGGGCCTGTGAGGGGGTGATGGGGTGCAGTGAGGCCTGTGAGGGGCTGATCAGGGCACAATGGGGCCTGTGGGGGCATATTCAGGGTACAGTTGGGACCCCTGTTTACAGGAGTGGACACTGACTCTGTCTTCATGAATCAGAGGAAGGTTCTGATCAAAACACACTGGTCATAAGGACAGGATGAAATGTGCTTGCCACACCCTACACATCTGCCCTAAGCCACACACTTCAGTGACACGCTGTGGTTGACAAAAGGCACTCTTTATCCACTAGTAAAACCACAAAACAGAAGGAGATGCCAAAGCATATGGCCTGCTCTTCCCTGACAGTAAGAGAGGAAGAATTGCCCTCAATCTTGTTTCACCCAGACCAGCAAACCAAAGCCATGGGTAAAGGCTGTCGGCTCGCAGCCTCCCTTTCCCTACCTGTCCTCCTACAGCCTCAACTCTGCTGTGCTAGATGTCACTGGAGCCCTGCCCGCTCTGACTCATCTTTTCCCCCACAGGTCCCCGTTGTTCATGCCCTGGGCAGAAGTTGCTTTTCTGAGTCATTTGTCACAGGATGGCACAATGCAGTGTCTCACCCTTAAGGGAAACTGGCATATGCATCCTTCTTTGTAGGAAAGTGAATTAATGCAACTCTCTGGGAGGGTAATTTAGTGCTGTCTAGCAGCACTTAAAATGCACTTAGCATCCCAACTACTAACAATGTCTTCTCTGAAAATAATCATAGGTTCATGTCAAGATAGACATGCACAGTGGCAGTGGCCTGCACAACAATGTGTCTGAGCGGCATTCAATCGTAGGATGGAGAGAGACTCATGGGGCCCCACCCTTTACTAGGGAACTATGGGCAGTGGGGAGAGGAGTCACTGTCTCCCATGTGGTGTAGCCATTGTTATTTGCCCATGCTTCAGTGGACAGAGTCATAGCCATGCTCATTCCCAAGGCTCTAGTTAAACTCAGTGGTTCACAAAACTAAGCCACCCCTCCCTCCAAAATGTAAAGGCATGAATGTGGAGGAGGATTTGTGGGGAGAAAAAAGAGGGTGGGAAAGAGTGCGAGGGGGTAAAAGAGAATGGGGTGAGTGTGATCAGAATAAAACTAACAAAGGAAAATTTTTAAAAAGAAGTCTACACAGGGGTGAACTTTGCAGTGTGAAAAGGAACAGAGAACAACTGGGAGCAGCCTCTGTGTCCATCCATAAGGGAGCTCTAATACAATCAAATTCTGGAATACAACACAGCCATTCAAATGTAAGGAAGTGACTTAGAAATGTGTCTGAGATATATTACAAAATGAAAATAAAGGCAGGCGGTGGTGGTGCAAGCCTTTGATCCCAGCACTGGGGAGGCAGAGGCAGGTGGAACTCGTGAGTTTGAGGCCAGCCTGGTTTACAGAGCTAGTTCCAGGGAATAAAATAAAATGAAAAAGTCAAGTTGTAGATTAATGTTTTATATGATTATGTTTTAGTTTTAAAATGTATATATATTCACTTATATTCATGTCTGAAAACAATTTTTAAAAGTAGATAAAAATGTCCTCTCAATAATTAATAAGGCGTTGGTGGTGCATGCCTTTAATACCAGCACTCAGGAGACAGAGGAAGGCGGATCTCTGTGAGTTCAAAGCCAGCCTGGTTTATGGAGCGAGTTCCAGGACAGCCTCCAAACCAATACAGAGAAACCGTGTCTTGAAAAAAAAATTAATAGCATTTCTTTGGGAGGAATAAGGCTTTCAAGTTGAAAGTAGGATTCCCCC